GATCTAGCCATCTCAAATCAACATATTCTCCGCGCCGACGTCTTGGTGGCTCTTGCCGTGAAGGCCACCGTTGCACTCGACTGGATTGGGGATGCGTCAGCTGAGGTATTGTCTGGATCGTGGATTGGACGACGATCGACGGTGGACTATGGGCGGAGAAATGGATGTGACGGTGTAGGGAGAGATGGTTGCGGCAATCGACGGCGGTGGTCGACAACAAGCGGAAGAATGGACGCGGCAATCGACGGCGGGCGGCAGAGGGCGGAGGACTCGGCGGCGTGTGGCAGCGGACGAGCGATGGCTGCAGATGGTGTATCCAGAATCCTCAAATGTGGCAAGGCTAAGATGGTTGCCGGAGGGGGAGTCGGCGAGAGAAAGAGAGAGGAGAGAGAGAGTAGAGTAGAGAGAGGAGAGAGAGAGTAGAGAGGAGAGAGAGGAGAGAGGGTGTAGATTGACAATAATTATGGGTGGGACCCACTCAATTTATTGAATGCTTGAGATTACAAACTTGTCCTGAGCATCATATGTTTCACCATAGATCTTCTATACTCATTTCTTATCGATCAAGTCGCGTTTGTGAAGATATCGCTTTTAGGTGATGAAACAGCTCTTTTCCTTCTTCGCCTGTCGACTTGTGTCGACTCTTTAGTCCCCTTAGTCGTCTTGTGATTTAGTCGTTCCTCGCTTCTAGAGCTGAGTGAGTGAGTAGGTATTTTTGTGGTCGACTTTACGATCTATGGGTTCCCATACAAGTCGAAGTACTTTCGCCTCTGATTTTTCTTGTGTTGATCCTTATTTCCTCGATTTTTCTTTCAATAGATTCCGAGTCCGAATCTATCTATGGCTCTATGCCCGGCTCCCTCGTCCATTAAATAGAGTACTCAGGTTCTGACTCCGTCGAAATAATTGGCTCTAAGCCTGCGGTCGAGCAAGAAGGATCCCAAGGCTCATCTGCCTCGACCTTTGGGATAAATCATGATGTATATACTCAAGCCCTCTTATCAGGCGATTTGATGCAGAATAAGGAAGACCGTGCTCGAGGTAGTGACTCTCCTCGACTATCCCTCTTTTCTCGAGGTATTCCTCTTAGGATATTAGACATTCCCTGTATAGGACGAGTCCTGTCCCTCTATCGATATCGACTCTTTTTTCTGTGTCTCAAGATGTAACTATAGCATGTCCTGTAGTTAGATTAGCTGTTCTAAACCCATTTTCTTATGCTTCTGCAGGCCAAATCAAGGGATTTAGGTCATTCAGTGGTCTGCCTTCCGATTGGGATTTGGTCGCTCCCGGTCCCAACGACGTTTATACTCATCCTCCTAAAGGCTGCTACACTTTTTTCGTTGATCAAATAATGCTCGGCTTACGGTTTACTATTCAATCTGAACTCTTGTCGATTAGCAACATGTACAATGTACCTATAAATCAATTTTCTCCTAATGCTATTCGTATTATGGTAGCTTTCATCATAATCTCCCGAATAAAGCTTGGCCGTTTCTCGCCCGAGTTCCTTTTGTACTGTTATAGCTATCGTTTTATAAAGGACGCCCATTTTTTGGGCCGTCGACCTGGCGTTTCCTTCCTCGAGGACCTTTCCTCGAACGTCACCCAGTGGAAAACCAAATTCTTTTACATCCGACTTGCTCCCGGCCAATATCCTTTTTCTAACATCTGGCTTACCTCGAAAGTCAAGCAAGACCATCCTCGTCCTAAGTCGAGCGAGTTCCAGGATATGTTGGACAATTTAAATAAATTCAAATGGAGTGCCCGTTTGTTGGTTAAGGATCTTGGTCTTCTTAACCATGTCGGCCTTTGGGTTGATGAGGACGCCCCTCGCATCGATGATCCTCGTAAGCTAACATGTTTGTCTATTCATATGTTCACCTTGTTTTAATCGTAAGTTACGTCGCGCTTGTAGTCATTGGTGGTGTTTCTTAATTGCTTGTTTCATCGTCTTTCAGTTAAATCTTTGCAGCGCTTCGAGGCCAAAAAAAACTAAGGGTGGCGAGAAATCTACCAAGCAACCCTCTCACCCCGCGGGAGCCAATGACGGTTCTGGCTCTGGGTCGAAGCAGGTCTCGACTGCCGCTAGAAAGTCAAAAGTGGTTATCCCTTCCGCAGCCCTGCCTCCAAAGGCTTCAGGGTCAAAATCCCGTAAGGGGGCTCCAGATGAAGTCGACTTTGTGTTGGTGCCCTACTCACTCAAACACCAAAAGAGCTGTGACAAGGGGAATTCTGTCGGGACTCCCCGATCTCCTGGTGGCCTCGAGACAATCACCCTGGAGCGACCTTCCCGACTTTGGGACCACCCCCATCCTCACGTGATCGCCAAATACCTTGA